CTTGCTTTCTGCACACCTCCTAGCTGCTGAGTATCTGTCCAGGCAAAGCAAGCCAACCAAAATGCCATTACAGAGTGGGAGGCAGGAGTGGCAGTGCTGCTTCTTGCTTTAATGCCTTTTTCATTTTCTTTTTCTCCTCATAGATCAAACCTGTGCGTCAGAAGGTGCATTGCTGGAGCCTTAACCATCGCTAATGCAGGCTTAGGGGAGAATGATTCTGAGTGGAATTGCATTGAAAATTATTTTTTAAAAAGGAGTCATGCATCTTTTAAGTGAGGGCTGCCGTGCCACGGCTCAGTGTAGGAGCCATCCCCGTCATCAAGGAGCTCGAGCAGTGTATCACTCGCAGGACTTCACTCTGCGGGCGGCAGCATTAGCAAGCAAAATGAAATTCAATAAATGTGTCTCTCCTTCTGGAGAACTTCTGAAGTTGAAACAGGAACGTAGAGCTGTTTATCCATAGCAGCCAATGCAGGCCTTGATGGACTTGGAAAATACGCACCTGACCTTTGATGAGACTATCGCATCCTCCACAGAGAGCACTTCTGTGCAAACACCTTGGCGGCACAGGAGCAAAGTAAATCACACAGAGGACAGGCTCCAGCCCACAGGCCTGAGTGCCGCGTGTTCATGGAGAGGTCGGAGATGGTCAGTCACTGCCCAGTCAAATATCCGAGGGCAGGAGGGGAGGCAAGAGCTGTGCTTCCCCCCAGCTGCACTGTTTGGCCTTATAACCCCCTATCCCTGTCAGCCAGGGACATGCTCTTTCTGGAGAGTAACCAAATTTAAGGGGAAACAATCATGGCAGGGAAATGCACAGAAATAGTCAAGTGTGCATCTAGAGCAACTTTTTAGCTCCTTTGTGCCTCTGTAGATGAGATCTCAGTGGTGCAAGCGAAGGGTTTGGTTGCATCCCCTTGCTGGTAGTGAGAACACAGCAATAACGACTGAAGGAATAAACCTGCTTTCTGACTCTGTTTTCCTTCTGCCTTTGTGTCTTGCTGGGATTTTCTATTATCACTGAGTCAGAAACAGATTTATAGGCTGTGAGTATGATTAATTTCCATTTTGCACCTTGCTATGATCTCAAAGCAAACCATCCTGGCTCTTTGGTTTCTTGATGTTGATCAAGATGTTTCTTGTGGTTGATCAAGATGTTTCTTGTGGTTCTTGAAAGAAAAAAAACTTTGAGCTGGGAGCAAAATACCCAGGCAGCTGTCTGAAAACAAATCCATTCTGAGATTTCACTGTGAACATCCTAGAGGGAAACGAGATTTAGCACCTTGCCTTTATCCAGACCACTAACCTGCTATGGTTTTACAATGTTTGGGGTTATACCAATGGACCATGCAGATAGTCTTTGGTGTATGTTTTCATTTTTATTATTTTGATCCCTTAGCAAAGGCACACAATGCCAATTTAAACACTTTAGCTTTACTACTGTGATGGGGGAGGGAAATATCATGTTCTTAAACTGATAGGCCTATTAACCTTATTAAGTTGCAAGGCTCGATAGGCTTATCAGCAAGCTTTGTGTTGTGTTTCATATGTTTTTTGTGGGGAACCAAACAAGAGCAGCAATGAAGTGCAATACACTATTCCTTTAACAAAGCAAGCTGGAGGGAAGAGGTGATGTTGTTGGCTTTGCAGGAAAGTGGAAGATATTGCTGCTAATTTATTCTCATAAAATGCAAACTTTATGGATGCTGGGAATTTTTATTATGGTTCTTAATGATTCATATGACCTATGATACCTGCCAGTGAACCTTACCTGGGAGCAAGGCCTCAGACTGGGTGCTCTGCAGACAGAGTAGAAGACAGAAATGTCAATTGCCACTTGTTCTGTTAAACCTGATCCATCCAAACCTGAAGTGGGAATATCTTGAATGTATCTAAATCTCCATATACACTTTATGCATACAAATCACAGTTGTGGTGTGTTAAACTGCATCCTGAATAGCTGGAAAAAATAAACTCAAAGAAATGAGAAGCAAATGTGAGAGCTTGAATCTTCACTCTGTTCAGATAATACCACTTCCGTGTGTCTCAGAGGTGGACAAACCCCTTGAGCCCACTTCTGGGCCGGTGATGTCCCAATAACTCATAGTCATCTAACTGCACTCTGCATGTGCCCCGTTTGAAAACAGTTTGTGGTTGCTCAGCTGGTCAAAGCCTTTGAAAAGGTGGAATCTGCTCTTGGATTTTGTGGGGGGAAAACCCAAACATTACTTGCCTGTCTCCTCGTAGAGTCAGATCCTAAGGACTGCAGTCTGTCATAGGTGACTTTTAGGCAGAATTGGAAACAGAAAGCAGGCTAAAGAATTTTGTTAAGAAAGATCTTACTGTGAGCATTTATAATACAAGCATGAATGAAATACATGCAAACCCTCAGGTTAACCATTATTTTCTTCCTAATGTTCAGACCAGATGCGATTGGTTTTGCAAAGTGTTTGGGA